GGTTAGTGCAACGTAAGATATACCTTGAATACGGTACGGGAATATACCTGACGGAAAATCATCTGCTGTCTTGCCTCGGTGGTGATGGACGACAATAACATTTGTGCGGCCGCCCTGGAATCCAAATGCTCGATAAATCCGTACACACCGCTCTCTCCCCATCTGGTTAGTTTTTGGCAGAAATCAATAAACTCCCTAACGGTGGTGAACGAATATTGGTATGTGCACATTTTCGCCGCATGGGGGCCGAGGATATTCGAGAGTAAGGTGGCATGCCCAATCTCTTGTTCAGCCATAAACTCTATAAGAAATCTATCGTCCGCATTTAATCCAGCAGCTTCAAAGTCGGCTACTGAGAAGCGACGTAGTCCTTCCTGGAATAGATCTAGTTCGATCCACTCCTGGTTGAGGGCCAAGTTGATGGATTGCCAATCAAAATCTGACAATGCCTGGTACACAGGAGGAGTGCCGTTTGTATTAATTCCTCCAGCAGGAACATATGGTGCAGGCTCAGGTTGGGTAAGGTTTCCGGTATTGAGATAAGGGTTGTGTGGCTCTGGAGGATTTCCAGGAGGAATAACTCCTGGTGTGCCAGTAGCACTTCGAGGGTCGACTGAGGATACTGGTGAGGCACCGGATGCTCCAGCAGCCATCGGGGTCGCAATAATTCCTCCAGTAGCCACTGGAGAACCACTTACTTGCGTATACTGAGGAAGTGGTGGGATTTGCGAGTTTAGAGGCCCGGCGCCTACTGTGCTCAAGGGGCCTGGAGTTCCTCCTAGGGTTTCTTGGATCACCTCTGTTGCTTGGGTTCCCTGAGTTTCCCCTTGAATTCCTTGGGTTCCTGTGCCCTGGGGAATGGCGGTAACGAGACTTCCTACGAAGCCGTAGCCCGCAATACAAAGTGTACTGATACGCATCGAAGAATATGGTTGAGGGGAGATGTATGAGGAAGGTTATGGATTTGTTTTCAAAAAAACGAAACCACCCTCACATTTATATCTAGGATACATGTATCCCATGGCAAAGACTATCAACAAACTCGGGAACGCTTTCCATGGGTTGATGACGCCTACAAATAACCAAATGGGAATTCATATATACTTTCAGTCAATTGCAAGCAGGCTTTTGAGATGCTGACCTCGGATACTACGGTACAAGCATACAAGAGATTGGCTGGACCTATGTCCGAGTAACGGTACCCATAATTCCCGTATTTTCAGGACTTGTGGCGATTTTTGTGGCTCACCATATATAAATTATCGAGATTAACTGGAACCGTCAATGGGTGGTGCAAAATTGACCCACTTGACATGAAATTTGGTCCAATAAGTAGTATACTCTTATCGATTGTGGGGTGTGATACTTGTATATGGATCGATATTGATAGAAGGCCTCTCAATAGCTTGAGCTCAGGCACACGCTACCATCTTCCAAATTAAATTCGCGAAGACATGCGTCATGCATATGCTTTACCGCCCCCATACCCCCCGAAAAGAAAAAAGGGAAAGATGCTACTGTTCTCCTTTAAACGAATTGAACTCTGTGGGGCGTCTTTAAAAGATCAGGCACCCATGGAATTATTGAAGTGAGGTCATTTTAATGACGTCAAAGCTCGGGTATACGCCGAGCTAACTATGACGCACGCGGTGCATGCAGAAAGAGCCGCATTAAGAGCCGCAAATCCTAAAGATGTCCTGCGACTTTGAAAAGTGCTGTCGTAAGAATGCTGCGCTAGTAATAACACCACGTAAATAAAGGCGTTGGCCACTACCTGGCGTATTAACCTTGATGGACTAGTTGTGCTAAGTACTCTAAATTTCCATGACAAAACAAATTGTTGTCCGTAGACGCGATAAAAGAACAGCCCCACGCGGGGGTCGAACCCGCAACCTTGAGATTAAGAGTCTCACGCTCTACCGATTGAGCTAGCGAGGCTTATATCCCAATTTGTATAAAGTTTTATACTATTGACATTCCATCAAAAATGATACCTACGATACCGAATAGGAATAGGTATAAGAATTAGCAACCTAGTAGAGAAGAGCAAATACTAAATCTTCCTAGGCCCTAATTAATGAAATAATTACATTAGTTATGGGCACGAGCCAGTTTATAAACCGGAGCCGGAGAGTTTCAATATATACATGCCCTATCTCATGATTTTCCGCTGGTTTTCTGATCTCCCAGTTTGTATATTTAATTCATAGATCAGATTCGTTCTTCACGGCGCCAAAAATCTACTAAGGTCTAGGTATTCCAGGCAGTCGGGAGTACGTAGAGGCTAGAGGGCCTCCCCAGATCCCATCCCTTTCCTAATTAATCATAGGGTGTCAAATTTTTACTCAGATCACTAGTGTACGTCTGGATATATCTAACAAGTACTTTAGATACATTCATGTAAAGTCATATGATACAAGCAGTTTCTGACTGGTTTACCTATTGGGTGACTGCTCGTGGTCATTCTAGCTGTGTCCAAACGGCAATCTAAATGCTAACTTCGGTATGTCCCAGAATCCTAATCATGATAGAGCCCAGGAAGGTCCCGGCCTCCCCAGATGATCGACCTGGAGTCTCGAAATATGTTAAGTTCTGCTACATGTACTAGTTATCTCTATCTCTGATCGATAAAACGAGATGTTATACTCGGGCGTTCAGTAAAAGGTCATGAAAACAAGGAAGCAACGGGGCGAACACCAAAGTTGACGTGACGCGGTCCAACTAAATCAATGTTTCAACAAAAGGGAGGAAATCTATTTCAAGGTTAATTTATCACGTATCTATTTGCTATTTCATTAAGATTCTTGTTGTCATTGCTACATTTAGATGGGTTCGTGAGTTCATGGTGTTGCTTCAACTTTTGTGTTCGCCCCGTTGCTTTCACGACCTTTTACTGAACGCCCGAGTATGTATCTATCTATATACATGTATATACATATCTAGAAGTTTGAAATTAATGCAAAAAGTAAAACACTTTGACAGTCAACAAGGTAGAAGATCAACCTAAAATCTCTAAAGAAAACATAGGCTGACTACAAGTACATTCAAAAAGCCCGGGAGAGGACGTTCGTTTAGAGACAGGGCGAAATCTAAAGTTCCTATATTTCTAACCGTGATCCCAGACCTCATCAAAACACTCAGAAACTGTTCGATAAAACGCATTTTCTATCGGAATAAACCGAGCATCTTCTGACACCCGATCAGCTGGCGTCTCGACCTCGTTTGTCGGTATATAGACATTATACATATACCGAAGTATGCAAGAAACCAATTTGCAAAAACAGAGCAGTATGGTATATTGGAGTCATGTTTCTCCCCTCTTCGGCTCCCTAAGGTTTGAATTTGGCTACTGTATATATATATGTACTAGGATTTAAATTGTTTTATCGATTTATAAAGGCGTGAGGTTTGACTGCCGTACTATATATACAGTACATGTATGTAACTACATACGTATATACATACATGTAGGATGTATACACATATAAAGCCATGTATTAACATACATGTGCTTGAATTCAACGATGATATTTCGCTGGACTGACTCTAACAAGACTCTAATGCATCTTTTGTAAGGGTTAACTTCTGGTTTAATTATGAGATTGCCTCAAATTCATTTGTATTTCCTATAAGGAATAAGTAACGGGTTCTAGAGTCAATAAATTTTTCCGCGTGAGAACGTGTGATCCAAGAATTCAGGGTTCGCCTAGTGCTAGGGGCCCCAACGCTCCCAACTCAAGTCCTCAACGTCGGTCTGAGGTTCGTAGACGACACGCATGTCTCTTTACCAACAATCCAAGCATATGGACATGCATGCCACTTCATCAATAATCCAAGCCTCTGGCTTCTAGCTACCTTGCGCATCTCCGCCGGTCCCATCTAATACTGCCTACGCTAGGCCAGATAGGCAGTAAGTTTTACCTGTGCAGTGCGACCTTCGCTCAGAACTTACGCCTGAACCAGCAGCTATGAGTCGAAGATACATGACCGTCATTATTACTCCAAGCCCCCTCTACAACTACTCTTCCACTATAATAAATCCTCCCCCTCCAGATGACACATTCGATCCTACGACGGTGGTAGGGGGTTTGGGGGAGATGGTTATCTTACCTCCTTCCGCTTATGTCAATATTTTGGATGAGCACACAGAGATTCCTCCTCTCGACATAGACGTCGATCATGATGGGACCCTTGATTACACGCCGAGTAAGTCTTTATACATACCACTTGACATCAAATAGAAAATTACTAACCCAAACCCATCTATAGAATTGTCCAAACTTATTACACTCAAGCTTCCAAAGAATCGAGAGGCCTTGAAGAATTTAAATCAAACTCAGAAGTACCCTCGAGATACCCCGCCCGAAACAGTGGAAGTACCATCTTGTTTTAGAAAAGGTAAATTCAAAAGAAACTCGTCTATATATTGAAATGAAAAAAAGGATTAACTTTCAGCTATGTCTAGCTTCCACATCTGGTGATGTTGTGCTTACATCCAAGGACTCCTATATTGCTTGGTTTCTCGAAGACCCTGATCCTAATCCACCTGCACGTCAGCAAAGTAAGTCACAAATGTGTACTATTAAGCCCAGTCTTCTAAAGACCGTAAAATCTAATTAGGAGAAAAGGACCATTGCCATCACAATTGACGGCATTCGAGCTTTCCGGTGTTTACACTATTGGCGAATGTATGAAGGGCTGCTCCGGACCACCACCTGGGACTGGATGTCCAATTTGCGAACCGGTCGATTTCAAGAACATCGCCCAAGTACACAGTATAAACATTAAATAAGACCAAAAAACACTTTATTGGAGAGACAACAGAGCCTTTGTATGCGATTCAATGAATGATAATAGATATCTTTTCGAATACTCAGGGTCGTTCCGGGTTCTAGAAAGGGATGTGGGAATTTATGGATGTTTTCACTTCATTATTTCAGTACTAGCTATAGGGCCGGCAATATTGGGTCTTTAGCATTTTAATCTATCCCCTATAGTTTCTATTCGAATGGCCGCTGTCCGTAAACAACGTACCTAGCATACATAAATGGAGTTAGTAATAATTCGAACACTCTAGTTTGGGTACAACATTTTGAAGTAAAAATTGTTATCCTTAGACCGTAACTCAGAGCGAACACCAGCAAGAAGAACATAAACCTCGTCTGCGGTCCACTATCACAGATATACATTAGTCAATTCAGCCCTCTACAAAACAATTTAGGCCCATCAGCATTATACTCACGTCAAAGAAACGCGTGAAAAGCGACAAAGTAAACCCCTCTTTCCTCATCAAATAAAATTAGCTAATATCGCTGGTAGTCTTTAGGGATTCTATTTCTTTTTTTCTTTTTTCTTTTTACAAAAAAGGGGGGGCTCATACCTAAAGCTTCTGAGATTAAGTAAATTATATCTCCCGATATTCTTCATTTTGGGATCCTTTGGCCATGAACCAATGGGGACCTTGAAAATGTTTTCCTCCATATTGACAAAGAGAGCGTCTTCCATCCATCCCTTTAACTTATCTGTAATACCAAATGGTCTTCCTGCTCTTTCTGACGCTTCGATTCCTAGCCTACACCACTGTGATATAGACGTGGTGGAACCAATAGCAGTAGGTTGGCCCTCATCGTCATCAATATAAAACCCAATTGTAGTCTCAACGGATTCGAACCATCCACCAGGTTTAAGAGCAGCATATGCTTCTTTATACAAACAGGTCCAACTGAAAACCGACCCATGTCGAGCTCGCCCGTGAATGAAATTGAATGAATTCAAGATATGTTCCCATGGCTTTGTGAAATCATCGATTTCAAAGGAACAATTTGAAGGTACCCTTTCAACATAGTTAGTACACATACGTTTCTTAGGTTTGGTCGCTGGTGATTTTTTTTTTTTTTTTTTTTGAGGTTTATTTACCATGTAGGCTGTATCGGTGAAAGGTCATTTCCAATGACTCTCGTATTCGGAAACTTGTCCGCAATGTCGATCGCCCAGATCCCAGTACCAGTTCCAAGATCAAGGACGCGTTCTAGATTCTCGCCGATAGGTGCCAAGTATAGAGCTCCATCAAGGACGAGAGTGTAAACATGATGACTAGATATATATATATGTGTATGTTCGAATGAGTTTTCCAAAGTACCACGGTTGAGGAGAGAGATGAGATCAATCACAATATATCGAGCTGCTCATTCTGCTTGTCATCGTTAGGAGCCCAGTACAGTCCCTCGCTATAGGCATGATATCTAAAGCACCCCAACACATATGATCAACTCCTGTTTTTATACACTTTTTCTGTGCATGTGGTCTATATAGATACCTTCGGCCGTTCTCATATCTGTATTGCTTTACCTCAGGATCAAGAGAGCTTGTTTTACATGGGTTTCTTGGAAGAAATATTTATTTAGCTTCATTCTAGTACTGCCCTTTCTAAAAGCTAGTATATATACCCATTTTAAAAAGAGAAAACTTACTTTTCAGTCATATATTCCCCGTTATTCTCGGGATCATCAGCTCCGACCACTTGATCGATCACGGTTGCATCTTCGGTTTCCTTTAGGAGTTCTGTTTTTCTTCGCGTTTCCCCTAACATTTGTCCTGCCTATGTATGTATCTTCAAAGGTTCCTATATCAAAGCGTAGTGAATATCTCCAGCTACAGTTGCAGCAACGGCGTCGGGATATTTATTCCTCTGGGCGAATAGCTGGTTCTATATACAAACGAACGGGGTCCAGGATGCCGCAGCTAGCTAGGGTGAAAGCGTTTCCGGGATATCACTGCCAAATTTCGATCAAGTGTCACTTGGGATATCGACGAAGTTAAGGCGATGAAGAGCGCGTTATATATATCGTAGACCCTAGTCCCCTGCGATATCATCTTAAAGGACCTTTGACTGGGATCTTGAGATATAAGGCTAAGTGCAATTTTAAGGTCATACCAAAAAACGCGAAAAGTATATGTAGTAGTTGTATGTATGCCAAGTCCCACGGCCCGAAAGAATTTACAGTTATGGTTGAATCTGAAGATGCCCATTTCTTTTTTTTTTTTTGAAGCCGCAGACTTAATAATATGGCTTTGCCCTGGCCCTGATTTTCGTATTTACGCCATTATACATCAGGAGAGGATACTGTATTTCCTATCAGCCGGAGTATTTGTAGTCACCTATATACAATTGATGTTGCACCGATCACTCTGTGGCCCCGCAATATAAATACATGTATATATGTATTTATAGAGTGCACCCTCCCGGTCCCCATGAAGAATGAAACTTGCTTTTGTTTAATTTATCCTAGAGTACCGCAGAAACTCGCCAACTTGATTATCTCCGTGCAGGGATTTCTTCATTGATGATTGGCTGAAAGGCAGAGATCAGCTTCAGATATTTCCTCTACAAGTTAGTTTTTGGTCAGATCCGCTAGCAAAGTTCGTGAGTTTTTGCGGTACTCTACACATCTGCAGCTGACAACCGACGCTATCAGATACGGAATTAAATTGACGGGGACCTAACAGTAATATTTGCGTGATCGTCGACAGGGACGCAACTTCACCGCGATATCAACGAACAGCTTAGACTCGTAGTGTAGGACAGTAATTCGCTCATAGGCTTGGTAGCACTTAGTACTAGTATGTACATACATGTACTTATGAGAGAAATCCCAAAGAGGGTAAGATTAATATTATTAGTTTCTGTTCTCACTAGTCAGTACAGAAATAAAGTCGATCTTGCGTACGGAGATTCTGTCCGGACTCCTACCTAAGTACTACATGTACTTCAATGCCGCCACAGGTAGGTACCTCCGAAGTCTTAGCTGCAGCTAATCCGCCTTAATAATTAATAATAGTTTATATAATAATCCTAAAGGATCTTGTTATAAGCCTCGCTAGCTCAATCGGTAGAGCGTGAGACTCTTAATCTCAAGGTTGCGGGTTCGACCCCCGCGTGGGGCTTTTTTACTTCTCTTTTTACTGATACCCAAAACCTTATGAACAAGCTGCTGAGGTCACTGAGTCCTGATGATGCGAATTCCGACATCCTATCTCCCAGTACTTCACCGGCCAGTAGGGTGCACGTACAACGCACGGATGATCGGAAAATGGCAAGTTACTCCTATATTATATCCATACTCTTTACAATACATCTAACCTGTATCAGAAACTATAAGACCTAAGAAGTTGTAGTCTTGTTATTACGATATGACTTTCATTTGCGTGCAACGCAAATTTCAACATCTCGAATTCACTCTCTCTACTTAGTCACTAGGTAAAATTAAATCCCTTGAACGCGAGGATACAAATCATTCAAAATACGAAACTCGTACTCGTTAGACTTGATCAAAGGTTCCATGGATTTCATATTTGCATTAAGCTACGTATTGCTTATGTTTAAATATTGCACATGTGTTTCTGGATTGTTTCAAACTTTCGTCATGGATTATCACCCAGGTCAGATGGTAATCAAATACCTACATTGTACGTACTTTTAATTTGTATACCTACATATCTTTCCGTCAATACACACACCGCTTACTGGTTTACACCCAGACCAGTTCTGACAAGGGTAATTAAGACACGGAGGTGTCTTTGTTTCTTGAGGCGTTTCGTGAGGCTAGTCCTGGTGACGATTTGTGTGCAATAGTCGCACTTTAATTAATTCGTATGCAGTTGACACGTATATATATCCCGAGAGCTGAATCAAAAAAAAGTCACACCTAAAACAAAGTTTTCTCATGATAAACTGAGTACATCTGAGAATTTTGAAAGGGGCAGTATAGTCATACATGTACCTATTGCGGGAGTTGGTTTGGAGTACCGAATAGGAGGCATATTCTTAATTACTTTACTACTATACTACGCTACTCGTACGCGTGCGAGTTCTTAACAAAGGTAGCTCGACTATCTTCTTCAACTTCATCTCCGGATAACAGGACCCGAGACACTTTTCGATCTACCACTGTCATCCAGGCTCAAATTATAGTATTTAAGATCCTAGATCCCTGGATATCGAGATTGGCATATATGCGTACGCGCAGTATTGACTATTAGAGAGTAAACATGTAGGTACATATATATATATATATCTACATTTGGTGAGCAGCTAAGAAGCACATAATCCCAATTTTATGGAAATCTCTTGATGATTACTTCAAAGCTTGTAAGTAGAGTAGTGGCCTCCTTTCTTTGCAAGTCGGGCCAGGTGATGAGAGGCTAGGGCCTGACCCTCCGCGCCCCGACAAAATGTCTAATCACCAATCAGCAAGTTAAAGACAGCCTGCGCATGTGTCAACATCTCCCCCATTCAATAGGTACTTACAGATAATTGTACATGCCCAGGTAGTGCTATATTTATATCCAAGCAGATACCTACATTAACTGGCAACTTTCCCCATTTATTGCCCAATTGTTTTGCGCTGAAGGTACGGACGGGTACCTGATGCTGATATATGGGTATTCTGCGAATCAAAATGTAAGCAACTCTGTCTGAGTTGTCCAATTCTCTTCAAACCATCAAAACATCTCAATTTACATCTCCCGACACGGTATACAGGAAAGTTGGAGTGCGAACACTCGCGGACGAAACAAGAAGTGTTTAATCCCCAAAGAAACAGCTGTATAGATAGGTTGCGACACCTACACAAGTTTTACAAGCTTTGCGATTGAGGTCACCAAAATAATCTCCTAGGCTTGCTTTGGACAGTAAACCCTGGTACAGCTGTGTCAGTACAGCTGATCTACATTTAGCTTTACTTTGGTGAATGTAGAGTAGGTACATACATGTACATGTAGAGTCTTTGGGGTGATAGAGCATGATCCATAACCTATGTCGTGAGTGTCTTGGTTGTCGCTACAGGGCCTGGGACGTGTTCTGAAATAAACTCCAATGATGCCAAAGTCTGTGAGCACCGCAGAAAATAACTTGCTGGGTTCTCCAGTATAGTATCTTCCCGGGTAGCCAGCGCAGACGTAAGAACATTTCACGAGGAATCTGTCTCAAACCAGCATGGAATAAAATGACCACCTAAACGCTCTTTGGTAGGGGATCAGCGGCACGCACACCGCGCGCTCAATGGCTATCCGATCGCATGTGTATTGAGTGGAGGATTATGCATGCAGGGGGGTGAGGATATATCTTGGCGGCCCAGAATATATCTCATGGGCTCGTCCGCGCATGGGGAAATTGCAGATTGATAAACTGTTTTCTTGACGTCGGTTAAACACCAAACCTTTTCTTCTGCTCAACCAACCATACCATGGCAACCGTAACCTTGACCGAAACTCATGTGAACCGACCAGAAGCATCAGCAGACTCTTACACAACCAAAACAACAGCGGAAACCATGAATTCATCGATGATATCAGGAGAGCCCATGGAGAGTTCAATAGCAAGGGCAATAAAAGGTCGCAAGAGCATGGATGAGTATATAAGACCAGTCCTCGACCTACAGAGTCAGTGTAAACAAACATCTAGATTACGCGATCACAAAAAGCTAACTTAGGGCGTCCCTCATTCAGACCCATATGATGAATCGCCACCTAATTACAGGACTGATAAGTACACAATTACAAAGGAAGAGGAAATCAAGCGCCCAGTGGTAATCGATGAGGCAGCATGCCTTATACGGGATACTTATTTGCGACCAAAAAATCATGGCCGTAGATATGGAGAGGTCCAGGTCATGTTTTACAAGTTCAACGTTATACAAGCAGACGATATAGATCTTGAAGACGTTGAGGACATAGAGGATGATGACGACTATTCCTCTGATAATACGGCGAAGAGAGAGGAAATCGAGAGGAACAACAGGAAACAATCAGAAGAGCTAAGAAGGAGGTGTCTGGTTCAGGCTGCTAAAGCGAAGGGGGACAGTTACGAGGTCATCCCGTTGCAGTATCTATATGAGAAAGTTTCAGAAACCTCGCCCCCACAAATGGAATACGAGCTTTTTCCACCTAACATCCGACAGTTATCGGGACTTAAGATCATGTAAGTGTTCTCCTATCCTTGACCGGAGCCCCACACGAGCCAGAAACTCAAAGTTGAACCGCGAAATTATAGAGAGTTTCCTGCTTGCTTTTATGCCACAGTACGTTGTCCCATTCGTAGCCATTGCCTCCCAGAAAGGAAAAGGAAAACTAATTCCCGCTTTCAAAGGAGTTCTTGGAAACAATGCAGAGCCACACAAACCGCTGTAACTTCACTGAGGTGGACCCACAAATTGTCCTGAGGTCAAGGAATTTGCGTTTCAACAAACAAATTCCTGGTTTTAAAACAGGCATCTCCTTGCGTGCAACTAGCGACGAAAGTGATAATGATTATCTGACACTTCTTACTGCTATGCCATATTTCGGAAAACTTCCTAAAATGAAGTTTTTACGCGAAGCCAGTCTTTCTCCGGGCAATGCGCCCTCGTATCTGACAGAGTACCGTCCGGTGAAGGGGCGAGAATCGTGGCGGCGGGAGAGCCTGAGCTTGGCAGAATATAGATTTCTAAGTCCAGGCGCCGAGAAAGAGTCTAAAAGACAGGAGAGAATTAAATATGATCTGAAGGAAGAGCGTTATGTCGATCAGGATGTTCTTATTCACCAGGCGTGGTTTATGGTCATTGATAATTGTTTGTACTTACCACTACTACTTTTTGCACTGGGGGAGCGTCAACTTCTAACAACCTTTTACACGGAAACAGATACCATAGGAATCTTCAAGTCTGCAGATGATCAACTCTCAGACTTATACCCACAGCCACCACTATACCCACACCAGGAGAAAATTGGAGCGTTTAACGCACTGGTACATACAATATCGAATACTCTAGAACGTTCAGAAAACATAGTCCTTGATACCTACCGAGCCAAGATTTCTGAGCTAGTTAGTTCTCCAACGATTTTCTTTGAAATATGATCATTGATACATAGATTTTACAGGAATTCTGTTATCAATCACTTATTAACAAAGATATGGATGTGAGTGATGACGAAAACAGAGAAGATGTCTCTAGCTACCATAGAGCAAATTTCGAAGCAAAACAGTTCACTAAAAATTCCAAGGACCTAGCCAGAGCAGTCGAGAAAGTTGCAATCCAAATCAGTACCATCAATAGCGTGGTTCAATCTCAGATACAGATTCTCAAAGATCTACGAGAAATCTTTCGCCTTAGCATTGGTTTAGCAAGTAGGCGGCCCCAGGGAGCCAACTTGCAAATACCAATTATGTCGGATCAAAAAGAACAAGTCCGTGCAGCCGAGCGAAGCCTAAGCTTTGTTATCAAAGATCGATATAGATTTTCTAAGACACTTGATGCCTTGAGCAAGGATGTAAAATCTGTAGGTTTCTTCCAGGTCTAACTTGCATCAAAAGGCGGGATATTGTTTAATAACTTTATTTAGTTGTCGGGATCCTTGGCAGTAAGAGGAACTCAGACAGCGATCGCGCGACAAAACACCACTATGTCAACACTTGCACTTATTTCAACGTTATTTTTTCCGTTGGGATTCTTTACTTCGGTAAGTTTCCAAGACAGTTAATAATCTGCAAGATAGAGAAATAGAGTATTGATTAGTATGTTTGGGAGACAGTACGTCACATTAGATGCTGCCAAAACCGTAGTCAGGACACAGTCCAAGTTCTTGAGATTGCCTGGACCAATCGCTGCGGTTTTCATAGTTGCAACTCTAGCAGTCATCGCTCACAAAAACGGCCTCACTGACTCTTTTATGAAAAGGCTTATGATGTTGCGATTGAAGCTGAGAAACTACCTCCTAAAAATACTTATGAAGAAGAGGATGCGACCACAGCAGCATCGCAAAAGTGGACAGAATGGTGCGATCTAGATCTAAAGAGACACTGGGCAGCTAAGTTCAGCCCGAGTCGACACACAATTTTTTTTATACCCTTGATGAAGTTATGATTATGATAGCTATATATAAATAATGTAATTCGCGAACATTACAGCTCGCGCAAATTTTGAAGCTGTCCAACATTCTAGGCCCGTTGTGAGTACCATACGACGCGCTTGCGCTATAAGAAGCAAACATATCATATCACTCGTTCATCCCTTGGCAATTAAAACCCCACCCAAACACTACACTTATCTATGTAGGTGCAATATATTCTCTTCGGCGCATGAATTGTAAGAATGATTGAATTGAACCAAAATGATATATACAAAAATCTTAAAGAAAGATGTTAAAAATGCGTAGAAAGAAAGATAGTTAGCTTGCCACTGCAAGCTAGCCAGTGCAGTTGGGTGAAGGTCGAAAAGGCATAACTACTCGTCATCCTCCTCGTCCTCAAGATCCGAGGGAGGCGTGCTGTCAGGCTCGTCCTCCACATCACTCGCATCGTCCCTCGTTCCTTCGATATCTTGTTTCGTGTTTTCAATTTCTTCAGTTGAATCCCACTATTCGAGATAAAGTCAGTTAAATGTATACATTCATATACATATAAGCGGGGTGACTTACGTATGGTGAAATGGCTCCAAGAAGAAGTTTTGACAACAAAATCCACTTCTTCTCTTTGTCCTTGATGTCCTCAAGTCTGTTGTTCACTATTCAAGTTGTTAGTGATAGTAGATTTTATAAATATTAAGGCAAGGGTTACGTACTTGGCAGGCAATCAATGTATTGTCCTACCGAAGGATGGTCATCAAGGTCCTGAATCAGTTTCTGGGCACCAGTATCGTTTCCAACACGAGAGAACTGGAACGCGACAGATTGTGGCCCCTTGGCACCCGCCTTTGACAGGTTTGAGATACAGTTGATAATGACAGTTTCCAGAAGTCCGGTGGCTTCACCCTCGGGCTATAGGAGGCAAACGGTTAATCACATCAGTAGAAACCCTCTCAAGACAGGTTTGCAAAACAATCCGGGGCCTTACCGCTCCATCAGTGATAATCATAATAAGCAAAGGCTTTGCCATATCATTGGTGACGAACCTATCAAGGATCTTCTTCTTCAACTCGGTACCTATTCTGGTAACACCCCCGTAATTGTGGTTTTTGAGGACGGATTTGACAGTCTTGACGGTGACATTTTTCTTTCCTTGAGGTGCGTTCAAGAATCTGACTGTGATGATACCTTGGTCCCTTGCAAGACCGTAGACGTTCGCAATGTTGTCGAGGGTCTTCTGCACAGTCTTAATGCGCTCACCATTCTCCTCGTACTTCATAGAGTCGGAGTCATCTATCATAATAATCAGAAACTTGGCGCCCACTTGGTCGGCTTTGGGGGGATACAAACCAATAAGAATGGCAAGGTCATAAAGTGTCATGATAGCAAACTGATTTGCCATTTCCCTCGAACATCCCTTAGCCCGCAGCTCGTTGACCATCTTAGCAGCCTTTTCGGCGAGCTCATTCGGAATTTCGGGGTAGAACGCCTCAAGTTTCTTGGTCTTGACTTGGTCCTGAAGTCTCTCTTTACACTGCTCTGGAGTCATCTCACTGCCTGTATTTTGTAGGGATACAGCAGCTAATTGTTGCTCGACCTTGGACATTGGCGTTGTTGGGGCGTCAGTGACGACTTGTGGGGTCTCGGTTTCGTCGACGGTAGACATTTTTGGCTATTTCTTCTATTGTCTTGTACGGAGAAAAATGTAGGGCAGGTTTAATCAGTGAAGAATTGACTTTCTACCTGGTGGAGTCGGCGTTCACGGCAGACTTATATTTTGAAAGTCGGGGTAGCAAACCCAACTAGACACTGCGCATATGTTCTCACAACACCTTTACAACTAGAGATTTATCCGTGATTGACAATGTCCGGTTCTAGAGTAGAGGAGCTGGTGCATGAAGCTTAGGCCTCTAACATGTAATACTACTGTATGTCAACACAGACTGCAGATACTTCAAATCGTTCCGATAGGTTTGCTTCATTAACTTCTTCTCTTCTGAAAACGATATGGCTGTAAGGAAAGGCACTGTCCAGTAATATTACTTGGGAGTAGCTTGACCCCGCTATTAACCCCACTATGCATGAAATCACCATTTCAGATTGCTGGCACTTCCAACCCTGTTTTGAACTCGGTTTCTTTGAGAAGTGCTGGGATAAAGTGAAGCTCTTCCCCTGAAACTCTAGCCCTCACCAGCTATCAGCTAATACAGTGCTATGTGCCAAGGCGTATGATCTAGATCACATGAAACGATATCAATTTGACGCTGTAGAAAACTACAGCACCGCAGGACCATGAAGTTATGTAAATTAGTGGTGTCTAAGGCCGTAGACACGTGGAGAGCTGCATATCACGACTAATCAATAGAAGAAATAATAGTGTCGATTGAAATTTCAATAGGTTCACTCAGTGAACAGAAGGGATTACGTGAAGATCAACAGAAATTTCCAAAACCGCGGTCATAAACGAAACGCGCAGAATTTTGACTTATCGATAACTATCGATACGGCCACTAGAAGCGCCCCGATTAAAGTGTAAACTACATTGCTGCCGTGAGCACCTCCCGTGGGAGAAAGCGAATAGTTACACAGCTGCCCCGCTTTACGAGACAGAACGACCAGGCAGGTACTCGCAGAGGTTGAGATAAGATTCCGTGACCAATAAAAGCTTATCCACAAGTAAACACGTCACAAATAACCCCGCAATTCCTTGCGTTTGGCGCTTAACTTCAGCTTCATTTTGCACGATGCAATCCCACCATGATCTTCATGATCCCGTTCCCGCACAGAAACGAGGTCGGGAAAACCCCTCAACGGTGCCATATTCAACTAGAGTAAACATATTGCTTTAGCCATAATTACTCACTAATTGCACCAGCTAGCCAACCAGCCGTCTTACTCAACGACGATTAGAGAGAAGGGAACATGAGGGAAACTGCCGACTCTATCATATAGGTACAGCGCCGTAGGTATATGCATTTAGCTTCATTGCTTCCTACATACCCTCAAAAGTGAATTGCGGCAGGAATGCAGCAAAGTGGCCCCCCCACTGGCCTTGGAGTTCACCTTGCAGCCGTCAATAGTCGGGTGTGCACCGAAGCTGCGTGAGGTATGAGCTTTGGCGCCAAGTGGTTTTTGGCTGCGCACGAGACAACATGGTTTGCTCTATTTACAACACTTAATCACTCGTACCTACACACATGGATTTTAATCATTCTGAGGTCTTTTGAATTTACAGGTTGGCAAGCCATTAGTCCGACAACTTCCAACGGAGAGTGAGTAGGTAGGCGGCAAAAGAGTTAGACATGAAGGCGTAACGGGGCCGGATTCGGAGATCTCTTCAATTCATAACTATGCTACGGACTTACTAATTAGTATGGAAACCTCGCGTAACATCCCTATGATAGCTATTGACCTTTAAGCACTAAGAGTTGGTCTCGTAGCAATGATAGCCCACACGACGTCCCTCTGGAATACTGCAGATACTATGAGGACCTAATTCATGACAGTGTGGTTCTCACTATGCCAAGGCTGTCAACGGAGCGATATCAAGACATTTCGAGACCCCCGTGAGAGAAGGTGACAGCGTCCCGTCTAAGACGCCTTGGCGCTGAAAGGCGTTTCAATCCAGCGAGCAGTACGCGGCGAAGAGACTTTCTAGGCCCACTATTGCTTTCCAGTTAAAGACTTTCCGCTGTGAGTAATACTCCCAAATCACTAACATACGTCAACTAATCAATTGCAATAGCAGCATATATATATGCATCTTTCTGAATTTGAATCAAAATTCTTTTTTTATTAAAAAATACGGGCAGCCAAATGTTTAAAGAGGATTTTCTCCAATAAATTTACTTATAGTACAGACTAGGAGACCGAATTCGCAACGGCTTTATCACTCTTCATGCTTAGATCGACTCGCAACCCACATTCTTTCACTCCTAATTATATAAGAGGCCTTTACTTTCCTGTAACGATAGCAATAATACCTTAACCATAGAAATCAACATCTACCGTAACAGAAATAATTACTTAACGATATTATTCTCATTTCTCCGAACTAGGCCACGTTGCAAAGAGAATTGAAGTTATTGCCATCGATATATGGTTACAGATCAAAGAACTTGTACAGTGTTATAATCCCCCAGACTGTAAAGAGCCTATAGCTACTACTACAAGTACGTGTTAATGTAGTTATGTACGTTTTTCGGAATTCTCCCCTCGGCTCCAATGATATAATATATATATATAAAGCTCCTATAACCGTTCTCTGTAAGTTATATCGATATAAAAATGAACTTATTATCTATAAAGTAAATGGTGAAAAGCATATAAGCCTCGACTCATAAAGCTCATCATGGCAATTGGGTCATGTATTATCACTCGGATTATACATCGGTTTTTTACTCCCTACGGTACAATGCTTGTGGTGTAAACGGGATATGTTACCACCCGTGGGGAGGATAAACAGGGATCAGGATTTCCTCCTTGGGATGCAAAAGATAAGGTACAGCCATATCAGGATATCGTATGCCATGTGGGTGACATTTCAGGCTCAAAGTGGTCTAGCTCAATGCTATTTATTTTCTAAATTATATATCCTCTCTAGCAGGATAAAGTCAGATCATGATATTGAATTTCATCGTGAGGTTTCTCCTCCCCACCGAATTACCCCTAAACCCATGAAGCAGCACCCAATCCCACCAACAGCATCTTCAGACCATCTCCTTTTTTGATGGGCTTGTAACAGTTAGGAAATACATTTATTCAAAGAATAACATGCACATGAGTCTGGCGAAAGCGGGCATGTGTGACCTATACCACGCCCATACCTGCCTCCATATGACATGATACATCGAGAGTGGTAGTTATGGTGATGGTGATGAAGCTTGCTACAGATAAAGCCCTGGAAGCATGGAAGTAGACGGGTTGGGGACGAAGCCTAGTGATAGGTGTTCGGGACTTAGAGGTTTTCAGCCTACCTACCGCCTATCACGCAGGTGCCTACATGTACTAGCACTAGTGCAGTCACGCAGGTACGTATACTACATGTACCCGGGGGTGCCGGAAAGTGATGCAACGATCAAATGGTCATATTTCTCAACAACCAAAGTAGCTAACAAAATGTGGAGCGAATCTATGGTAATTTAGAGGCTGGAGATCATAGTTATAGTAAGAGTTGATGTGGGTGGCTGTTGATTCTCCTTTTATTACTGTCTCTTGTCACAAGTTGTCCTTTTGTAGGCTAAAACCCCCAAATCAGTGACTTGAAAAATTGCAGACTCTATTCTAGAGACTCATTCATCATGCGTATGACTAAAATATCTATCCTTCTCAAGCATTGTGTTGTGTTAAAAGTTGAAGTTCTAAGTACCTTTCGGCGTTGCTAGGTCAAACGTTGCATCACTTTCCGGCACCCCTGGGTACATGTAGTAGAGGTAGTGCTGCTGTCACACAGGTGCGCTGATGCTGTCACACAGGTGTGCCGTCCCCCTTCCGCACTAGCAGATATCTTTTCTGAGTGATATGGTCAAGTTTGAGCTTTTTCACGGATAAAACATCCTTCAGCAGAGGATACCACAGTATGGGAAAACGATATCCCATTTTCTTTGATAAGTTATCTTTTTCAAACTGTACCATAGGGTACTATTACTTATTAAACTGGGCGGACCCTTCGTCCATTCCCGGTTTTATACCTGCCGGACATCAGGTGGAATTATAATATATAGACACAGTTCTAACACCGGGAGTTCGAGTCAACTACATTTTTAGGCGATTTTGCGTGAAAAATGAACGGTTTTCGTTAGTCTCGCAACCCGGGTACATACATGCACATAACTATCATTTAAGCTGGGGCAAGATTCGCGCATCTATTACTATGTAGTCGCTAAGAGATAATGAGACAACAAAAACTAATCGGTATTGATATATCTCAAGAGGGCCTAAGCCTCCACAAATGCTGCCCACATCTCTGCCCTTTTGCCAGCAGCCTTAATACTGAAGCCAGAGTTCGGTTTGATAAATACTGCTTGTCCAGCCCCCAGAATCTCTTCTTTGTTATCTCCATCAATGCCCTGCAAACTAACTTCACCGTCAAAACAGAGAAACACGCTAGGTCCTGCGATTCCCTCATTTATCACCTCTTTTTCGCCGTCTTCCTCCAACTTGATATTGAGTAGATCAAATTCAGGCATAGGAACTTCGTACAGTTCTGTTTTACCGGTCGTTGATTTACTCCATGTTTGATGTTTGAGCTCGAGCTTCTTTGAAGCAGAGGCTTCGTAGAGAAGCATGTTTGTGAATATCTTAGGGTCATCATTCTCTCCAAAGCCGCAGGCAATCTATTGAGAATTTAATTAGTTCATTCCTTTAATGTTCAAGTCCCTATTCGTACCATATTATCAGACCACGCCATGCACTCAATAACATCGCCCTCCAAATAGGCATGAATACAATCCGCCGGAATGGCAATTCCCTCTCCCTTCTTCAGTCGGACAAAATTCGTGAAGAATATTGCTGCAAACATTCCAACATCTTCGGGATAATCCAGGAGCATCTTCTTCACAACCGGGCCCAGATTCTGGCTTCTCCCGAGAGTTCCCAGAGCATCTTCTCCTAAAAGATGCATTCTGCCTAGAATAGCTTGACAGAGCTTCGAAATAGTCTCTTTATCTCTCTTGAAAAGACTCCAGAACAATGTCTTCAACAGCCCTTTCATCTTCTCTTCTTCTCCTTCACCAGTTTTCAGGAATTCGTTGACGGCATCTTCGTTTGCCAGTGCGGCCCGTAGCTCGGGTACCTCTTGAAGAAAAAGTTTGATTTCGCTAACAGGTCTGAACCCGACAAATCCTTGGAAAAGATCCGAGACAGTAACCGAAACCTCAGGCTTATGGTTAGGATCGACGAATTTCTCGTTCTTGCCCTTTTCTTGCTTCTCCTGTTTCATTAACTTCTGGGCGAGACCTTTATCGGGATGGGCTTGTAGAGGAAGTGCTTTCCGGAACGAGAGAATCTTGAATAGGAATGGAAGGTGGGGGTCTTTGTTGAATTTTTCATAGACGGCGGAGGTCAGATATTCTTCTGGATTAGAGGCGATTATGTCTGCAAGAGGCTTGTTGTCTTTGACGGCACGGGACGGACCATTGGGATGATCTCCCATCCATATCTAGAACAAGTTTATTCAATATTAGCGGTTTCCTATGCCATGTATTTCATTTTTATTGTAATTTATCGATGAGATACAGGCCGAGAGAGGAGCACCAGACGAGCGGTGATTTGTATATAGGCAAATGAATAACCCTCCAGATCTCTGATCATGAACATAATTTCGCGACCATCCCCATACTAAAGAAGGAGCCAACAGTAGCACTTACTTCACCATACGGCTGGTTCTCGTCGATCTCGAAGTTGTTCTCCGGGGTCGCTGTAGCAAATCTGGCTGCTAAGGAGTCTGAACCCTTCTTTCCATAAGGGTAGGGTAATACGGCGACGGTCAAGCGTATGAAATTACAGTCGGGCATCTTTGGCTTGAATTGAGTGTTTTCAGTTCTCGGTGCCCTGAAGACCAAACAACCGTTATAAACTTCTCAAACTGATTTGACGTCAGAGCTTGATTACCGCAACGGGTTCTACCCATTCATTCCATTTATTAGAAATCCACAGTTCGGAATCTCTGTTCCGTGCGCATGCGTGGTGTTGTCGTCATAACGAGTGCCTATCTATGACGCGGTCCGCATAAACATTGTTCCCGTCCCAAGACCTCTTTTATCGGGAAATCCCGAAGAGCCGCAACATATACCCACTCGATTGGTTTAGGGCATCTAGAGTTGATTGAAGGTTTCTCATCTTCAAATCATAATGTTCATTTTGGAATGAGCTCCCTGCGGATATGGTGTATCCCGTCTTAGTGGAACTGCACGATGCAAGAATCATGATCATGATAGGTGTGTCAGGGAACGCCATGTTTTTTTGGGCGAATAGAAATGTTACGGGAATGTAAGGCACTTTCTTGCTCTGTTTGGTTCGTTTAAATTTCTACATTGACAGACTTCTTGAAATGGTTGCCCCGATCGATAAAGTGCACAACTATAAGTAAAGATTTCTTTTTTTCTCCCCCACTGTCGACATGTCAGCATTCCGCTCTGCACTTACATCTCTCATGTCTTATGGTGCCAGAACATTCCCCTCATCATTCACCATATAGAATGTGCCCTAAACCAAAGGTTGAAGTGCTGGATTATAAATATACAGCTCAGATAAGATAAATATTCTGGTTCCTTCTTTTTTTACATCTTGAAGATATTTAAAGGGAGTAACTTTACTTATTAAGCGCTGCGGAAGTACATGTAATTATAGCTATAATACCAAGAGTCTCAAGTTCCTTGAAATACATGCCACATGAAGCAGCCCCTGATATGATATTTGCAGGTTTGTAAAGTAGGGACGTAAATATGTATGTACTCACGAATTAATTAAGTCTTGAGAATTCTTGGTAGCAACGACATTACGACTTAGTTAACGCGCGAGTATTACTCTAACCGTTTATCTGGCCCCTGAGCTTTGCATAAACGTCGCACCAACTAACTCTGGTCTCTGGAATTTCATATCTCGGAAACAAGATCTTGGGTCTGGCTATTTAGTCGTTCGAAAGCAGGCATCCGTTTTGTGTGTGTACCGCCTGGCCTAGATAGGAGATAATGCCAAGAGAATTTCTCGTAGAAGAAATGATTCTCTTCAAGTGGAGGTTTGTTGGTGTTCCTTCATAGGAAGATCAAATCCCAATTAGGTATCTGATTGCCAGCAGGAAAGATAGCTGTCATAGCGTATCACTCATAGGTACATATGTATTCATCTACCATCGCGTCAGTGACAAATTCATGTCTCTAGCGAGCACAACTGGGACTAAAGTATAATATAGGTAGGTATCTGTTTATAAAATAGGACTCCCTTCTGCGTCGGTAAAATCCAGCCACTGGCAGACAAAAGCACATTCGGAAAAGCAAATACAATGACGGGCACTCGTTCTAAGAACCCAACCAGTCTCAGAGTACATACCTTCGTTGTCCCACATGCAGGTTAAACGACAGAAGTAGTGTGTTGCCCCATGGGCTAAAAAGTGAGCGGGCGGGAAAGTCTTGGAGAAAGTCTTGGAGAAATCAAGCCAATCGCTAATGACAAACTGCATGATAAACATCCCAATTCGGCCGCTTACGCAAGAGGGAGTAGAGGGCGACCCCGTCAACCCTGTACACACCACTTCAGTCATTTCCTTCATTGGCTCCGGGAAGCAAACATTGAGGAGCCTCACCTTTAACTCGACTTTATGGCTGTAAGGGCTACAATACTGAACTGGTGTGAACAGGGGTGACAAGGTCGCCCCCCAAGGCCTCTCGCACCATACACGGCATGACATTGGGGACGTACGATCAGAATTGTTGTACTTTGGAGAGGGCTAAAAGTCAGCCTACGGGTCGGCAGCAAATCCTGACGTTCCTCGTGCCTGGAAAATGCCGATGACTTCTCACACACATATTGTCATGTCAGTCCATAACGCCTCTTAACATAGCATGATAAGCACTTGCTGGATTTGAAGGACGTTGGTATCAGGTTTACCCAGAGAAAATACTTTTCTCTCAACAAATACCTACCCAGGTAATCCCTAAACAGGTAATTTCATTCGCTCAGCTGAGAAATGTGGAGGCTGAATTCGTCCACCATGAACTTTGTTTGTAGGCCTAGGCTTTCTGCAAGCTTGTGTTGTCTCTGCGTGAAAAATACATTGGTCTTTTTTTGCGGTTATCCCAACCCAGTTAGGAGAGTCAGGGGCCTTGTTTTGACGAAAAAAGAGTGTTGAGTAAGGCAAAGTAAGATCGATGATACTTCATTAGCTGTCTAGACGAAGGAATGCTTGGCAAATATATAACGGGGAGTCTTCCGTACTAAAGTTTGATTTTTCCAACCTATGGGAGTGAATTGTAAAGCTATTATTATCTCTGTCGATCGTAGTGCATGGGGTTAGGGAACGGCCAATGCTGATCTTCCCCAGAGTGTAGAGAAAGCTGAACCAAAAGTTGATCCACGTCTGTTGCGTCGCTCTGCAGAATTGCGGAAAGTGCAGAACGTGCGGAAAGTGCAGGGCAGGGGCAGGGCGCAATATACTTTAAGCATACCCAGACGGCTGGCTAGTGACTGCATGCGAACGTTGTTCCTAGAATCAATGAAAATGATTTAAAAAATAAAAAAAAAAGACGGCTGACTAGTTCACTATCGAAGTTTACACAGGTATATGAAGGGCCCTCTGGAAGCCTCCAGGACTTTGCTCTTCCATCCCCCACAATCGTTCTAGATAGACTGTTCACTCTATCTTTCTTTGGCCCTTTAGCCGTAGACTTTCGTTCGACTTTTTAAGCCCTTTCTTGTGGTACCTGGCACCAAGGAATTGCACTTTTTAGAGTAGCCATTATGTTAGTTCAAGGACTTCTTTCGATTCTCGCTTTCGCCGGAACTGCCTTCGGGGAGTTGGTTCTAGATCGCTTCGACAACAGTGGTATAAACGCCCTTGGAAACTGGCATGGTTGTGATGGCTCAATGTCCTGTCAATGGAATGGTGACAGTTTGACCATCCAGTCAGCCGATACGGATAATAGTTTCTTCACGCAGTTCAAGGGCGCGTGTCAAGATCTCGGGAGTTTCAACGACCAGTTCCTTCATATTGTATGCTCCGGAGATAAGAAGTTTTCCGTTGCTCTTACGCAGAACAATAACGGTTGCGATATGAGTCGGGCTCCGTATCCGGAGACTTGGGATATTGTCAATGCCGAAGACTACAGTAATGGCGAAGATATATATATCCCCATGAGTCACTTCAACATCATGAAGAGCCGTACTCTCGGTGTCGCACTTAAGGCATTCCGCAACCCTGGCGCCTCCACCACCTTCTCCCTCATTGAAATCGTGGACTCGGCCCCGGGAGGCGTCCCGGAAAAGAAGCCTACTGGTCCCCTCTACTTTTCTTGCACACGGCCCAACAGCATTGCTTTCGGCATTGATGATGGTATTCCGAGCTTGACTGAGGATATGATGAAGATTGTTGATTCTGAGGGCATCAAGGTTACCTTCTTTGTCGTCGGTAACTCTCTTGATAACCCAGACCTGCCTTTCAAAGCATTGTATAAGCGCGCACTCGCCAACGGACATCAGGTTAGTAATTTCTAAACTAACTGACTTCATACGGGGGCCCGCCGCTGACTATTTCCCGGTTAGGTCGGATTCCACTCATATACCCACCCTAAACTTGAAGGTCTCAATTCCGTCAGTGCCATCGATGATGAGTTTTTGAGGAGTCATGATGCAGTTATGAGAAACCTTGGTGTTGATTCCAGGTAGAATTTCCTAGCTCCACTCAACTATCTTATTCTGATACTAATTCTTACTAACTGTTTTAAAGATACTTCCGTGCGCCATACGGAACAGATGGTGCCCTTACCCGCCAGCGTCTTGAGGCCACCGTCCCAGGGACTAAGATCATTAACTGGAGCGTTGATATCGAAGACTGGATTTGGGGACCCAATGACCCGGACAGGCAGCAGACTCTTGCTGTCCAGCGTGATCTTTCCAAGGGTGGCAACTTGTTTGTTGCTCATTACCTGTTTGTATCCCTTTTGATTCTTAAGTGGAATGTATTCTGACCCCATACGTAGCTATATTTCCACCGTTGAGCAGCTTCGGCAATTCATCAAAGACGCCAAGGCTACTGGAAAGCAGATTATGCGTGTTGACCAGTGTCTGATGGACCCTAATGCGCCACCTCTATAAGCGGTAGGAATTCACGAGTTAATCTGAGTAATGTAACGATTTTATTTAATGGTACTTGTTTGGGGCGGGTGTGGTACTAGGACTGGAATGGGGATAATGGACTTGTGGAAATTGGCGTGTTACCTTTGTTTATTTTGTTTATGATAATGAGAAAAAATACTTCTTGCCGTCTGAAATGTGATCTATAAGCCGGCCCAATTAAGTAACCAAGGAAAAGTAGAACTCCCTGGCGGCGCCACAGATACTAGTACTAACTGTGGTCAGCATGTGAAAAATGCAAGCTGTAAGTAGAGGCACACCTTGGCGTAGTTGGGAATCAGGAATCGTTACAATCAGAATCGAAGTTGGTTGTACTTGACAGGGGATTCAATTTCGTCCTAAGGTATTACCCGAGTGATAATTCATGACGCCGATTCGGTTTACTTTGCTCAATATTACGTATGTACATGATAATATCGATACTTTCCGAGAAAGTTGCATGTACGCGCAGCAATTTACTTCGTATAAGTATCACAGTATCACACAGTGACTATTTACAGTATTTCCAAGCCTAATATTATCGCCCTTTTATATGTTGGGGCCGGGGGGGGGGGGGGGGGGCGCGCCGTGTATCTGTGCGTTGGCACATCGGTACGTTTGCATTTAACTCTTTGTTGTAGAACTCTTGGCGGAGGATGTGGAAGTCTTGGTGGTGCTGGTGGAAGTCTTGGTAGACGATGTGGGGGTGCTGCTAGATTTCTTCGCTGAATTAGTATTGCCAGCCAATATTTTAGTAGTGTTATATACATATTATAGGGTGACTTACTGCCAAAAAATACTGATCCAATGCATCATTGATTTGCCCCACATGGGCATACGCATCAAGAGAAGAGAAAAATGGCAACGTTTCACTCTTGACTATCTTGAGATCTTTTGCTTTGTCATCGTAAGGCTTGTCTCTCCACCTCTCTTCCATGGGGTCGATGAACTTTGTGGTTTCGGGATAGCCAAAATCGACCAACTGTGTTACGTTGAAAGCGGCCATCATGTCGTGGTCTTCATGTACTAAGTTGTGCCCTAAAACAAGTCAATAAGATAAGCTCAGATTGTACTATGTAGTGGGACGAAGATGGCCTACAATGGAACATGTAAACGCCATCCCAGGGAGCATATCTAGCCAATACTCTAACTTTCTCATTTGTCCCAAGCAATACTACATCTTTGAGAGCCACGGCTTCGTAAGGTTGTATAGCATTACGTCCTCCAGTACGGGAGATAATCTGGAAATCAATCAAATGAATATGAACCGCTGAATAATATATAACACCAGTCAGCACTGTTTAAAGAACCTGCAAGTATTGACACTCACGGTGAGACCATCCGCCACTGCTATTTTCCAACTCCCAGACTTCGGTCATGCCACGTGTAGGCCTTGCCAAGATACGGTTTTTCACACTTGAGAAAGGGACTCCATTTATGCGCCACTCACCACTCCTATCCTAGAGTTAGCAAGGGGGAGCATGTTCGGTCTGCTTTTTGCACTTACGATCTTTCAAATTTGAAACTCCTATCAACACCACTCTTTGGCTTAGGGAGGGGGGCCTTTGACAATTCCGCGGGAAGCGGTCCGTTATTGCTCCAGCTAGTAACCGTCATCCCAACACGGAATTGCAACACACGATCCGTTGCGTTATAGTCTTCATCCGCCATAACATCACGGGCGTTCTTGATAACGATTTTCTTACCGGCGTAAGGTTTAAAGTCAACAATAAGTTCCCATCTCTCCGCCATAGAGATGAAAAATTGGCTTGTTTGGACGGGTTTTGATAGATAGCCTCCGTCAGATGCTATAACGTAGAAAGGAATACCAGTTTTCTAGCCGTCTACGACTATAGTTAATCTAAAAGTCCTACTAATAGCTACATTTAACATTCTAAAACGGTATGTGCGAGGCTCGACATTGAGATATGGCCATGGTTGACCGTTCTATTTCTGTTAATTTCTTGGGATTCGCCATCTTTCGGTTCTCGGGTCTCACCACATGAATTACGTCTCCATAAAGACTCTCTCACTCATTTTCGGGAGATAATAGTTCACCGCTAGGTTGGTATATCTTGGACTGGAGGACAAGCGTGACATCGTATTTCAGTGCTGGCAAGCCAAGCCTCTTCTTTCGGGTCTGAAAGGATGTAAGATCCAGCCTGGCCAAAGTAGGCATTAACAGCAGTGATATGGACCGCATGGTCGTGATACCAGAGTGTCCTTGCAGCTTGGTTGTTTGGATAGTAGTAGTCCTATCAGATTAGGTTTAGTGCCGGTCTAGTTGTCAAAGAGTTACACATCTCTCTCTAACGACTAATTAACACACACCTTATAATATCCTGGTCTTATAGTATCCTCGGCCTACCCATCAAAGGGAGCTCTGGAGTAGGAACCGTGAAGATTGCGGAGGGTCGATCATATTGATTCACGAAACGAATAAGTGCTTCTCTCCCCTTTGTCATTTGGAATGTTGGGCCCGGAGTGGTTCCATCATATCCCACCAGATTTGTTAGTCCTAGGTTTGGATATACTTGCTGCTTAAACGGCTTAATAATTACTTCATAGAAGCCGATCCAAACTTTTGTAATAGGAACTACGCTGAAAAAAAATTTAATAATAAGTTTACTTTCTCTTTGGTGTGGAAACTCGGAGACTTACGCCTTGGGTTTGGCAATGGGAGCCTGAGGTAACTCATACTGGAAGATATAGTTGTACTTTAAGAATTCATTAGTTCACGATACTCATGCGTTCAAAGGTTGTGGGGAAAAAATACCGGTGGACTGAGCCAGTCGCTATCTCCGGCTGAGACAGGAGGCGGTGTGAAGGCTATGAGAAATGATAAGAACCACAGCCCTATCAGAGTTCGGGGTATTCGTAAAGAGTTATGCATATGGGGCAGACTAATTAAATTCCGTGGAGAATTCAACCTGACTGATGGACAACGCTCATTTGTTGGAATAAACGGTTTCTCCTGACACTGAGGGCAGTTTTGTCATATTTGAAGTGGGGCTTGACAGGCTTTATATCAATCTCATTAAGGCTAGAAAGATTCCTTCCATCATTTCTTTCACAAGACTATCCTAATAGTTTATCTAGTCTTGTGGCGTTTCTTTGTGGACAATCTCCGAGGGAAATTACACGCCCCGATGGAAGTATGTGGTTGTTTTATTGGGGGCCACTATCTCACGTACTGCCTAGTTGTTTCTTCCAGCATCCCATATCTACTAATTCTCTAGAAACCATAAGGTCATGACTTGAATTATGGAACCCCGGCCCACCAGACAAATATGGATGCTCCATGGATTCAGCCATTGGACACATTACTTTCGGTATCCGACCATGACAGAACTTCGATTCATGATGAAAGTGGTGAACGGATTAGATATCTATATACAAACCAACCCAAGGATAAACAAATACCTCGTACATAAGTATATACAGATTTATAATCTAAGTTCAAGCCATATCAATTGTATGCAGGGAATAGCGAAGTATATAGGATTCAACGGTTTATATGAGACTTCACTATATATAACGCATGCTACGAGCTCGAGGATGTGCAATCAAAATATAGAGCAAGTACCAAATACAAACTCCAAGTGTCTATCGTCTATTGATTCTTATACCGCACTAAGTCTATATCCGGTGGCCGATATAACAATGCCAATTGCAAGCTTTGATGTCTTAGATGGATCAATCTTTAAATCAGGCTACCACCCGATCTTGTGAATATGATTCAGAATCCAGCCTTAGGCACAGTGCTGCTACTTTAGGCAAGACTGAATGTCTCGGATCAGCAGTATTTTCATCGAGGAACATACAAAGAGACATCATTATCAAACCTATGGCCCACCACACAAGCCGTATACTCATACATCTGTACATGTGATCGAATAAGATTTAGAATGATTATGCCACTTTTATCCACCTACCGGGGACACTCCCGAAACTTTATGTAATCGAAGTTCTGAAACTGGGAATTCAACTAGGTTACTCGATTAATTTGAAATAGAGCGCCAGAAATAAAGTAGTGTAGTGAGGAACTAACAGGGCTAAGTACTCCTATGAGACAGATGCATATGTCGTGATTAATTTGGAGGTCTTCAAGGTAAGGCGGATTCAGATCCAACTTCCCATCCATATGCTACAGGAATCCTATAAGCTCTATTAATATAGATTTATTGTGACCTGGTGTTTCGTTCGAATTCTATTGCATGAACGCTTTGTGGAACATCGTCACAGGGATCAGGGTATAGTATCTGCTTAAGCTTACTGGGCTCGTACAGGACCATGAAAGACCTGCTTAGTCAAGGATACATAGTAACCACCTGATGGTAAAACGAACAGCATGGCTTTCAGGTATCATTTTCTTCTGGTACAGGGGTGGACATGAGATAGTAAACCTCAGCCAGCCAGAGAAGCGCCTCAGGCTATAATCGAGGATTCCAGTTTAAACCAGTGGTTCATTAAACGTGGTTTACTTTTCAGCTTTGCCGCTTCTACTTGTGCTCTTCCGAATAGCCAATAAACGCCATAGCGAGGTACCAGGAAGAGAGAATTAGGGGACAAAATGGCTTTATATGGTGCAGCTCAAGTATCAAATGAAAGTGGTGGACCGTGGCTCTGGATGTCTTACACATGGCATATTCTAGCTAGCTCCAACGATCTTTGATATTCGCTTAATTATATCCATGGAGCTCCAGGGTAGACCCGTGTTGATCAATCGGCTGCCTGCAGGGTTACATATAAGTTTGGGGCCCCTGTTTAATGCATTCTATGATATTTATCGCCTTATACACGTGCGACCTCAATATCGAATATTTAGATATTACGAAGAATTTGTCGACCGCCTGATCAAGGATACGAGTGCGTGTTGTGGATTCCGTGTTATTTGCCAATTAGTTATAGACTTAATGCCGTAATTATTCGATCCATACCTTAAAGATTAGTATTTATGTATTGAAAGTCCATTTTGTACTTACATATGTCGCCGCCATGTTATAATTCACATGTAAGGTAAAACCACAGCTTCATATGACCTTTTTGTTTGAGAGCGATCAGGGAAAGTCCACAAGCTCAATCTTGTTATTCTTTATCATTCAGAGAACGCCATGTCAAGAGGAGTCCCGGGAATGCTTCACCATTTAGGTTGCATCCGTACCAAAAACGAGAAACGCAGCTGGCAAGTGCCGTAAGCGCATAAAAATAAGGTTTGAATCATAAATATCAGAGCCTAATTAGGTTGGTTAAGATTAACTAGGGAAAGTTCCAGGCCTGCTCCATCACATGAAGGCTTGGAAAATTGGTTTGTGGGGCTTGGTGTAAATGTTTATCCTGTATTTATTCGCTTTGTGAACTCCACATGGTTAATCCAACTACCACACTTAACTATTACCGTCTTTCCCACAAAAAAAAACACTCATCGTATTTCGGTACTTGTGTACAGTATTTGAGATTATAATAGACCAAATATTAATATATCATGTAGTAGAGAACGGCACACATGGCTGTCGCTAAGCGGCAAGCAAAACCTGCAAAGCCCATAGATGCCGTAACTCGATTATCACAGGAAAGTAGGTTCTATTTTATCCTTTAGTCCATTTATTCTCTAGCCTTCCAGGCCTTTTGTCCACTCGCTCTTTTGTCCGGGGTCCTGTACAAAGGTCTTTGCTCTCCAGCCCCAGCCGGTAGTAACAACGACCATTATCAAATGATTAGCTGTAGGATGATTTGTTTTAAAAAGGAGCTGAAAAGGAACTCTGCATAATCAACTCGAACCGATTTGGTATTCCTGTATTAGGGATATTTCGATCTAGGTAAAATGCATTCATCCGAGTGATCAATGGTGACTCACTATAGTCCTCAAAGTGGTGTAACATTTAGCCTGGGAGCGCCAAATCCATGCAAGAAGCGACATTGTCATTTGACAAAATACCCGGGCAGACTCCCTTCAGAAATCTCCTCATTATACATAATGTAACTCTCTTTGAGATAATCCAAATGGTCCATACTGTTGGAGAATAGCTCCTATATTGCCAGGACTTTGAGAAGACAACCGCTACACAACTTGCTAGTATCTCTAGCTCTAGCATCGTTGACCGTTTCTTCTCGCCCTTCGTGCAGATCACCCTAGGTCCGTTTTTTTTATAGATGAGAGTATACGAAGGTATGGTGGCAAGAGATAAGAGGAAAACCCGTATCCATCTTCACTAGGATAAAGTTCATATGTAGGCGAGAGGCCTCGATAGATATATCTATGCAGCCTTGGGCTCTACACCTTACCCCGGACCTTAAGTAGACAAACTATAGGCCGGGTTGAAGTTGCACTACTCCTGGGTGGGGGCAACAAGAGTTTGTTATTTCCAGGCCCTTTCATTCTGTTCGAGTGAGACTCTCGGCTGCTATGTGCTGGAAGCACATTCGGCTTGTGTCCCAACCGCTATAACAAAGGAGCGGTGATGTTTCTCTATATGCATGCCCTGCCTTTTTATTGTATAAATGACAGGATAACCATATCCTGGGCCTTCAAGCGCTGTTAGCTAATCTCTACACATTAAGAGGACATATAGCTGTTGACTTACTTTATTAAAAGTGAATTCGAGCTGTTACTTACAAACTCGAGACTTGAGAAATATATATTTCGATATGAACAGCATCCAAGTCTTTACCTGTATCGGAGGGGTCTTCTCTATCAGTAGACAGCGATAAACTGACCTGATATAAGTGAAGGCCTCGGTGCTAGGCGGATGCGTAGAGAAAGGTAGTTTGTCCATGTGGGATGGGTGATGGAAAAGACATTACAGAATAGGTGTTGATGATGGTGCAGGAGGAGACGAAATATGCGAAGAGAAGAAAGAGAAGGATGGAGGCAGATAACATGAAGAGGATAGAAGGGAAGCAAGCGAGGTACAAAAGAAAGGGAGCTGTTATGCAGGACGACGGCCCGAGCCGGTGTCGGAAATTTAATTTTCCGAAGCTAGCGGTAGGTTTTCTGTGCCGGGGTATGTAAACGGGTTCACTAGCTGTATTTTTTGCTGCACGCCTGTGTGTGGTGATGGCGGCCTCCTCCGGCCGCGGCTAGGCACGAGTGATTCCTTGTGATTCGGCTTAAACAACATAGTCTTTCCCCTCGTCACATTGGCTTGTTTTACCTGCAAATGGAGATGGGCAGAGAAACTTCCCTCGGCATATATATTTGACTGCAAACAGGTCACTTGGCCTTCCCCTAACACCCGTAGCACACATTTTGCCAAGCTGGTCAACTTGCACTTTATGATATATCGATAACTACAGAACCGAATCTGATCATACACTTAGCTGGTATTTTGGAGGCTGAACTACACGTGTGTACATATTTATCAATATATATAATCTAAATAATGTTTTCCGTCACCAACTCCTCTCTATTTCATCAACCCCGCCCGCGGTCTCTAACTATCAGCAAAATACATTAATGCAAGGCTGATTGCCTGCTTACTTCCCAGTGTCATTTATACCTTTTGTCTTCCTGCAATTTCTTGTAGCTTTGGAGTTTAAAATCAAGATAACTCCGCCCTGCAGATATACGTCTGGCTCAGAGACCGGCCTAACTGCTCAGATGAGTCTTGCTAAAGAATCGTCCATAAACCACAGTCTTCGCGGGTAAGGAATCCAATCATTAACCACTTGGAAGATCATTCCCATTCCATTCGCTAACTGATACTATTTACAATAACCCCCCCCACATCCAAAGTTATGGCCCTACAACGCCGCCTCAATCTTCCCCATATCCGCCATAATCGGCGCCCACCTCGCCCACTCACCCTCTCCCATCCCCTTCGCCAACGGCAACCTCCCACCATCCACGTCCCCAAAGCCCAACACCCTACTGACCGCCTCCTTGATCCCCACCGTGCCCCAACTCACAATCAGCTCCTCTGCACTCGACACCATATACTGCAGAGCCCGGATCTTCTGCAGGCGCTCCGTGTCGAGCGGGCCCTCGGCCGTCACAAGATTATACAGCGCCACGACACTCTTGGGGAAGATACCGGCGAGACCGTCAATCGCGCCGAAACAACCGACCTGTAGTACGGGGAACAGCTGTTGCCCGAGGCCGGTGAAGAGGTGGAAGTAGTCGGTGTCGATGGTAGGGTCGAGTGCAATCTGGGCGTGCACGGAGATGTCGCCGTGAGAGAGCTTTCCGCCGACGATGTTTGGGTGTGCGGCGAGGGCGCGGAATGTAGAGGGGAGGATCTTGACGTTGTTGGATACGCCGGGGTAATGATAGCTTCACCCACAAGATAGAATCAGCAACCATACACTTATAATTATCCAATTCAGCGGCTGAAGAAAGGAGCAAACCAACATCATAACCGGAATCGGACTCTCATCCGCCACAGCCTCAAACCACCCTCTAATGCCCGCCTGATCCGCCGCGCCCGCAAAGTACCCGGGCGCCAACACCAACCCCCAGCCCGCGCCGGCCTCCTTCGCCTCCGCCAGCAGCTGAACTGTCTCCTCAATCCCGTTCGTCGCAGTCCCCGCAATCAGTGGGTAGTCCTTGAAGCCCGCGGCCTCGAGTGCCTGCCGCACATACGAGATCTGTGAGACCCGCTCTGCGCGTGTGAGGTGCACGGCCTCACCGGTGGAGCCGAGAAGTACCAGACCACGGCAGCCGGACTTTGCGAGGTGGATGGAGTGTGCAGCTTGCGCTTCGAGGTCGAGGGGCGGCATAGTGCTGCTGTAGGTGCTGGCGGACTTGCTCACGAAGAAAGTAGGGACGGGGACGTAGATTCCACCGGCGGGGGGGAGGGATCGTGACATTTTTGGGGTATATGATTGAGTGTTTCTTGGTTCCTCTTTACTTTTGTCTTTTTGGTGGTGAGTATGGCTGGCAGATGAGTAGAATAGGTCTAACCAGCAAGAAGAGCGAGATATAGCTTCTAGATAGGTATTTACAGTATTTGTCCTCCCGCCCTCCACTTGCATCAGCCCAGCCAGACCTCGGCCAGAACGGGCTGCATGAGATGAGGGGCAAATCCCCCACAGGGCCAGGGCTCGGCGTGCACTCCGGGCGTGGCCTGCGAGTGACACTTCGTGACGCGCAGGCGGGGTTCTGCGTCGCGGGGACTCTCGCTTCTCGGCACTCTCCCGCGAGACCGGATAAACTTTGCACGTGGGCGCTCGGTGGGCACTGACCCGAGCTGCGGGCGAGCGGTGTGTGTGCGGCTCTGTGCTTGCTATTCCGGATCCAGTCTAGTGGGATGGCAGGGGTGCGGGCGGCAGGGGTCTGTGAGTTTTGGCTAAACTTACGTCTGCGGGTCTCAGAGCCTGGGTGTGACTTTGTGGACTTGTAGGTATAGCATTGGGCCCTATTACATTCACCATGTCTTCAGTATCGATGGCGCCTGGTGCGCGATGAGATACATTGATTGCCTCGTGTCACGGATGTAACGATATGTAGGTTCGAGATTAGAGATCTTAATTGCTATCCTTTTCTCCGACGATATAGTAGGAGGGTATATTCCATTGTGTTATGCATACATGTTTAAGCTCGAGAGCAAAAGAAGAGATAGGGGGGAAAAAAAAAAAGAAAAAGGAAAGCCCGGCTCTACGGCACCGTTACTACATACTACTACTGGAGGTTGACGAAGAGGCCACCGTCTGGAGGAATTGGGATTGTGTCAGCTGTGTTTCACTAACTATTGATATCGCAGGAAGGGAAGAGATTGTACTCACCGACCAGCAACTGCGCACCCGTCTAAATATCATTGACACCGAATCAGCATGACCACAACCACAAAAACCACAACAAACCCCCCCCCCCAAAAAAAAAAAAGCCACCAAAAAAGGGCAGAAATAAACACCGCAAAACTCACCATATAACTCGACAAATCACTCGCCAAAAACACGGCCGGCCCCGCCACATCCTCCGGCACCCCCGTCCTCCCCAGCGGTATACGGCCCTCCATATACGTCCGCTTCGCATCATCGTCCAGATCCTCCTCATTCAGCGCCGTCTTGATGGTCCCCGGCAAGATCGCATTGCACCGGATCCCATGCTTCCCCAGCGCCGCCGCACAGCTCTGCATCAAGCTCAGCACGCCCGCCTTGGTCGGCGTATAATGCGTCTGCCCCGCGCCACCCACCAGCGCACTGATCGAGCTCACGCCAATGATACTCCCGCCCCCACCCTGCTTCACCAACTGCCTCGCCGCCGCCTGCGTCGCATAGAACGCGCCGTCCAGATTGATCCGCACCGTGCGCTCATACAGCTCCTTCGGCAGCGTCAGAAAGTCCGCAAACTGGCACACCCCCGCGTTGGACACAAACACGTCGAGGCGGCCATATTTCGCGACCGTCTCGGCGATCAGGGCCTCGGATGTGGCGGGGAGCGAGATGTCGCCGGGGATGGCAAGGAGCGACGATGAGATTGGTGCGGCCTCGATGGTGGCGCGGAGGCTGGCGATGGAGGAGGCTTGTGTGTCGTTGAGGTAGTTTATGGCGAGCTTTGCGCCGTGGGTGGCCATTGCGATTGCGATTGCGCGGCCGATACCCGTGGCGGCGCCGGTGATGGCGACGACTTTGTTGGTGAGGAGTTTGGTGGACATTTTTCTCTTTGGGGGGAGGTTTTCTTGGCGGTGCGGGAGTGTGTTTGAGGTTTTGAGGTTTGGGGGGATTGAGGAATTGGAATCGGAGTTGGAATTGGGGGGAGAGGACTCCTTATATGCTTCTTCTGATCACTGACACTGCTAACCACAGCTCGGTGTTCTTTCTACAGCTCTTTTTATCCCCCAATTGCGGGGGCAGAGGGCGGGGTTATTTATCTAGTTATTCCCGTGCTAACAATCTACAGCATCACGTGATAGCACGGGAATCGTGAGGGTGAAATGATTCCCTTTGCAGGAAAAAACGTGGTTGTGACCCCCGGCTGCCATTTATTTCACATTTTTTTTTATCGGCGGGAAAAAGCAAAAAACAGGGTGTGGAAATGATATCCATGCATGAAATTGTGCTGCTGCTCTGCTGCTGCTGCTGTTGCGCCGGCCTTTGCTCCTTGGTTTTCCTCCCAGAAAAGAAAAATTGAAACCAGAGAGAATAGCTAGATAAATACAAATAAGAAAAAACAAAGGAAATAAATAAATAAAAAAAACACGCAGTCCCATAATCAAACATAGCTCGTCACAATTCGCCCCAGACCTCTAAGAATCCAGATGCAGATGCAGATAATCCATCTATCCATCCACTCTCCATCATCGTAAATACGAGGAAGGTCCTACTTCAAAAACCTTCTCCACCGCTTGGATAGTCAATGCGCACTCTCCTCCTGTGCCTTCACCCCATTCGTGCCATTCACCGCCTTCGGCGCCACGCCCGCAGCCGGCGGGGTCAACGCCTTCTGCGGAGTAGGGCTCAACAAAAACCGCGCATCCACCAACCTCGCCTTGGGGTTCAACACCAGCCCGAAACCTGGCTTATCCAGTACGGAAACATCCATAGATCCATTGATTGGAACAGGCTCATCAATGAACATATCGCCAAAGACGGGGTAGACCGATTTTCCGTCGGGCGAGTTTGCGAGGTACTCTTGGAAGGGGCAGTTTGACTGCGAGACGACGTAGTGGTAAGAGTATGGGCCCGAGGCGTGAGGGACCACTGGGATGTCGTAGGCGGCGGCCATAGCGGTGACTTTGAGGAGCTCGGTGAGACCGCCGACCCACATGACGTCGGGCTGGAGGATGTCGAGGTTGCGGCCCTCAATGAGTTTGCGGAAGCCGTAGCGGGTGTATTCGTGCTGTTTTTCAATTAGTATGTTTATGTATTTGTGTGTGAGGGGGGGTAAAGTACCTCGCCGGTAGTGAACTTGAGCTGCGGCAGCGCCTGCTTGAGCTGTTGGAAGCCATCAAAGTCATCCGGGTGAAGGACCTCCTCCCACCAATTGATGTTCAGGTCCAGACACGCCGTCGCCAGCTGGATCGTGTAGGGCACCGTCAAGCTCATATAGCAATCGACCATAATCGGGTAATCCGGTCCCACCGACTCCCTGTGCTTCTTCAAGAATTCCACATTCTTCCTTAGGCCCTCATGGCCATCATCAGGCCCATACGGCAGTGGCACCTTCGCACCAAAGAAGCCCATCTCCTTCGTCGCGACCGGCTCGGGCCCCGTGCAGTAGAAACTCAGCTTCTCCCTCGTTGCACCGCCAATCATCTTGTACACTGGCTCGCCACGGATCTTTCCGAGCAGGTCCCACAGGGCCAAGTCAACGACAGAGATAGTAGCAATGGGCAGGCCCTTGCGGCCGTAGAAGGTTGTGGCGCGGAACATCTGGTCCCACATGAGCGAGAGGTTTCGGGGGTCGTTTCCGATCAGGAAGCGCTCGAGGTGCTGGTGGACGATCCAGCAGGCCGGGGGACCGCCGAAGCCGGTGGCGAAGCCCGTGGTGCCATCCGTGGCCTCGATCTCGACGCAGAAGGAGCCGAGTACGTTGATGCCCCACGAGGTGCGCGAGTGCTTGTATTTCTCGAAGCGGGACATGGGGTTTGCAATGGGGGAGTCGACGAGCCTGTGGTGGGGGTTGTTAGTACTACTGCTACTACTACAATCTACGGGTGCAATGCGTCTACTGCTACTGCGATAGATCACGGAGATGACAATTGGGATAGTAATTGGTATAGTAATTGGGATTGGGGACAATACCAATGACCGCCGGCAACATTGTGGTAATCACCGCCCGAGCCGACACCGTCGACAACATAGGTCTTGATGGCCTTGATAGTGGGCCACTGCTTAATTTCCGACATTGCTTGCAGAGATTCTGGTAGAGATAAAGGGATTGCGTGAGGGAGAAGTCTTTATGTAACTGTCTCTATAAAGAAGTATATAGAATAGAAGAAGGAGGAGAACACAAAGAAGGATGGATGCCCAGAAGAAGAACAAACCCAGAGCGGCAGATGGAGCTTCCTTATATATGCCCAAGAAAGAACCCAAGACCCAATAAGGGCCACCGGGCCCAACAGAACTAGACAGCAATACATCCGGCCATCCATCCCTCAGAGGAGATGTCCCGGGGTGGGGGGGGAAACTAATTCCGGGCCGGCGTTCTTCTGCGGGCCTAGCCCTGCGCAGAGAGGAGGAGAGGAGGAGGAGCTCCATGTGCCCACGTGAGCGGGAGAGCGCGCGGTAGTGAGAAAGAGAGAGGGAGAGGGAGAAGCTGCCGGGGACAGAGATAGTGAGAGTGAGCGAGAGTGGAGTGTGCATGCGTGGAGGAGGGACGAGTGAGAGATAGCAGACAACAGACAGACACTCCCGGGTATGCGACACAGCCCATCACTCATCACTCATCATCACTCATCACTTCACTCGCCCACCTTCTCTCACCCGGTTTGCATTCATTCCCCACACCAGCAGTTCTTTCCCGGCCGGCTATCTCCTCTCTGCCTCTGCGCTGTCTACCTGCCTGCCTGCCTGCCTGCCTGCCTGCCTGTCTGTCTGTCTGTCTGCCTGCCTTTCTCTCTCTGTGCAGCATCTCTCTTCTGTATCTCACACACAACAGAAACAAACCCTTTCCCACACACACCCACACCCACACCCACCCCCCCTTTGCATGCAGCATCGCATATGTCCTCCTCTTCTCTCACATGAGATGCTCTTCCCCTCTAGCGAATCACAAACGGGGAACCCGGAAAGGCGGGGTAAAAGCAACATCTTTTTTTCCCTTTCTCTGACCGCCTCACACCTTCCCACCACCACCACACCAACGAACGCCCCTCTCTGCCTGCCGTCGGTTGCTCGGTGTGCATTGCACCGAATGCGCAAAACTCCCGAGGTTGCGGCGCCCAGCACACACAACCACAACCCTTACCCCGTACCTACTCTAATGGCACGCCTTGTAAGAAAAGAAAAGAAAAGGTTATGTATGGTACATGGCTCTAACCTCTCCGCTGGATAAGCGTTCTTTGTGGGGAATCCTGGCTGGCTTTCTGGCGTGGCGGGGAAACTTTGCTGGGTTGGGTTGGGTCTGCTAGTGTGGACGGGTACCCGATCGTGGTGGTGGCTTGTCACTAATCTACTCTACTGCCGAGTGATCTCCATGATCCAAACGTACCACCACAATCTTTACTATGTACTGCAGCTTAGATAGATAAATTGTACTTCTTTAATTCCAAGAACAATCTATGTATATATGTATACAATATTAATATCATGATAATATGGCTATTCTTTCAGATACTACATACATACACCACATGTACCCTACATAGAAAACATCACTGCCGTGAGTCGCCTACGCTGGGCCCATCCCGGCGATTCGTCCACTCCATCAAAAAAAAAGCCAGACACCTCTGCTACATTATCGGAAAACGTTCAGCCGAAAGCCCAGAGACGAATCCCAGGTAACTGATTACTCGCTTAGGATGCGATGTTCTGTAGTTCTATAATTCGCCCCAATCTTGGGGAGGAGGAGGGAGGATGTGTATATTAATTATTACATGATCTATGATGATATTATTGATGTACATACATACATACATACATACACACATGCCCACCATGTGGCTACTCTCTCTACCCCAGATCTCTTTTATATATAAAAACCGGGGACGGGCAACTTTGGAATTCCATTTCTCCGCATCATCTACCGTCGGCAGCTAGTTGTGGGGAAGCAAAGCAGTACTAGCTAGAAAGAAAGGTCCCATCAAAGAACAGAATAACGAGCCCTGATAATACTAATCAAACAACAAAACCAGAGAGGCAGAAGCACCAGTAACACACCAAGAGAGTCATGTGGAAACCAAAATTGTACGGCAATGCTCTCGTCTACACAATCACAGCATGCTGTTGTCAAGGCTTCCTGCTCCTAGGATACGACCAAGGTAATCATTGACACCTGCACCGGTACCGTTCCCTTCAAATCCGCACACCGTCGACTAATCACATATCACATTGCAGGTGTCATGAGCGGCATCATCGGCGCAGATAACCGCTTCGCAAAGGACTTCAACTACCCAGGTACCAGTACACAGGGTACGATTGTCGCCATCTATGATGTAGGTTTGCATGCTTACTCCCCTCGATCCATTGCCGATGGCCATCGAAAAAGCTAATTTGTGTCGACGTCACGCGGCCTAGATTGGTTGTGTTGTTGGATCGATATTGTGTTTCTACATCGGAGAGAAGATGGGCCGGAAGCGTATGATTATGGCTGGTGGGATAACAATGTTGGTTGGGACCGCAATCTTGACCAGTTCTACTACGCTGGCTCAGTTGATTGTTGGTAGAATTGTGACCGGTATTGTAAGTTGAATGCTCGTTTCTTATCGGCGATGCAAATATGCATACAGTGCTAATACTCTCTTTCTGCAGGGAAATGGTTTCAACTCTAGCACTATTCCGGTCTATCAGGCCGAGTGCTCCCCGGCAAGAGTCAGGGGTATGCTACTTACTACACAGGCCGTTGTTACCATCTTTGGACTTTGTATTGGTAAAACTACCCCATGATTGCGGATAAACATAGTTGGTGCTGACTCCCCATAGCTTATTGGTTGGATTATGGCACATCATTCAATGATGGGCCCATGCAATGGCGTCTTCCTCTTGGATTCCAGGCCTTTTTTGCCTTGCTTCTCGTTTTACAAATCCTCATGCTTCCAGAAACCCCCAGGTATAGATTCAGATCTCCCCTGGTCGAGTACGGCTATGCTAACAGCCTCACAGATGGCTTGTCGCTCAAGATCGCGGTGAAGAGGCAGCCCAGGTTCTGGCAGATCTTGAGGGAGAGGAATATTCCCCGATCATCCAAGAATTGTTGAACTCCGTCAAGACATTGAGGCGTCGGTAGCGCTAGAAAGTCAAGGTGGTCCATTCAAATTCAAAGAACTCTTTATCGGGGGCAAGATTCAGAACTTTCGAAGAATCTGTCTTGCAATTGCTGTTATGGTCATGCAACAAGCAACAGGTAGAAATAAAAACTACCTTCATTATAGATTGCGTTAGTCACAACTGATCACTCGGTCTATAGGTGCAAACATGATCAACTATTACGCCCCAGTTGTTTATCAGCAGACTATGGGACTCACCCGCAACATGTCTCTCATCCTCGGCGGCTGCACATCACTGACTTATCTGGTTGGCTCTTTTATCCCACTGTGGATAGTTGATAGACTTGGTCGTCGTCCTCTCCTCATGTTCTCCTCTATCGGTCTCTGCCTATGTTTCTCACTGGCCTCCATTCTGCTCTCGCTTGAATCTGTATCTGCCGCATACGGTGCCTGTGCAATGGTCTTCGTCTTTCAGATTTTCTTGGGCATTGGCTGGCTCCCTGTACCATGGTATTATGGCTCCGAAGTCTCAACCACTCGACTCAGGTCCCGTGCACAGGCCATAGGATCGGCGTTCAATTGGCTTGCTGTGTTTACGGTGGTGGAAATCACACCAATTGCCATCGACAATATCGGGTGGAAGACATTCATCATCTTTGCTGTTTTCAATGCTGGAATGGTGCCAATTGTATATTGCTTCTTCCCAGAGACGAAAGGCCTTGAGCTGGAGGATGTAGACCACCTCTTTGACCGCGGTGGCATCACTGGAGGCGTATGGAGTACAGGTGGAAAGACGGTAGAAAGACGGAGGGTAGGAGAGGAAACGGGGGTGTTTGAGAGAGCAGAGAAAGCAAGTGGTGTGCATCTAGAAGATGCGCCTGCTCGGAAAGAGTAAATGTTTACCTAAAACATTACGAATGAACGATTTGATTATAAATAAATGAGATTTAATATTAGTTAGCTTATGACTTCAAACTTAAAATCCGGAAAACCGGGGTTATGTGATAGCTACCGCTATTTTCACTCATTGCCGACTAGAAAGAGCTTGATGCTTGATCCTGCTTAAACTTATATCCGACGGATTCAACTTTCCCGGCCTGTCGGTTATCCCCCTCAACTATCCTGAAGCCTCGGTAGTTACTATTCATGCATCCTGTACCCCGCACAGCCAGTGTATGTCTTGCCAATATTGGTCGAAGCTTAGCTTGTGATTACTCCGGGTGACAGGCTTCGAGTGACATCTTGTGATTCTTATTTTCTCGGGGGAATACATTCCGTGAAGAAACCATTATTAATACTAAATAGCATTTTTTTGTGCCTATCTGAAACGCTGAACGGGTACTCGGAGGACAAAAACATGGACTGGTCGGATGTGTGTATTGCTGATGCAGAAGTGATACGACATTCCCCCAGAATCATGCTTGAGCAGTGTTGGATCTACATAATCGTTACCCCTAAATCACAAACGTATCATGAGATGAAGAAGAATGCATTTACCAATATCGAGTGATGTCTTATGAATCATACTTTCGGTATAATTCTCTCCGTGAAGAAGAAGATCCCCGGTGATTCATATGCAGAGCGGCTAGGTGTAGCTCATAAGCAGTGTGAGAGACAATTGTTCTTATAAACACGTATGGCGGATACTCCAAGCCTCGATAAAAAGCTCCCCTGGATGCAGTGTAAGGGGTATCTCTCGGTGAGGGAATAATTCCGTGGTAACTATTGTTGAGTACTCTCGCTCTGCGAAAGTGTTCGTGGGGAAAAAACTAATCTGACGTGGTGAAGAATGATCCAGATTGCACTTTTATCAAGTAACTACATACCACGGTAGTCAGAAAAGGGTCCAATTAAGAGAAAGTGAACAAATATCTATTGATCGATATGGAATATCTACTATTGCATGAGATCCTCCAAGAAAAAGTTACATGGCCAATCAGGAGATCGTGCAAAGTAGCTTTTACGATTGTGATCTTTTAAATCCTGCGCAGATGCTCACATGATTACATGTAGTTGACTTGTAGTTTTGTGGGGTCTGCAGAACCGTTCTATGGAAAAGGCACGTGGTACAAGGTAATGTATGTACCAAACTACATACAATGTTTATCCATGTACTGATCATAGATCTTGGTTTGCACAGAAACGTGGCTCTTGCATGAAGTTGCGTGTTGGAACTCGGGTCTTTGGGTCATAATAACTGGTCTATAAGATGAGGTCCAGTTAGAGTTTACCACGCGAGAAGATCCCCTTGTCCATCACATGGGATCCCCACAATTCAGAAAGGATCTATGTGCTGTACATGCACGTAAACTGTGCATACGTGCCGAGTGTATCCTCGGTGAAATAGGATTTAAAATACGCCCAATGAACGAACAATATGGGTTCAGCAAGCTTAGCGCGAGGATTCCCCGCTCAACTTCCACCCGAACTTAAACCAAACCTCATCGCAGTCGCCACTACATCAATCGCTCAGTATTTTCATATAAACTCATCATTCTCACTCTAATCTCACCATTCTACTATGTGCCTTCGCCCCCACGTTCAAATCTTAATACCCCACATCCTGGCCTCCAACGAAATTATCTTCCATCTTAATTTCTGTATCCTAATATTGCTGCAAGTTAGGTTATCCGTCTCATTTATTCTCCCATATGCAGATGCGATCTGTAGAAGATCTTGACTATTCGCCCAAGATTAGGGTTCGAAGCTTTAATCCAACCCATAAGCGAATCTCAACCAATAAGCGAATCTCAACCATGATTAGAATGGTTTGCAAGTACGAGGTACTTCGTGTTCTTCTTCGAGTATACGCACGAATTAGTCCGAGACATACTCGCAGTGAGGTCGATGCACCTCGATACGCCGTAGCCTTCTTGTTTCGAGACGACTCATATATTGCCATTTCAACAGGTGAGGTCTCAAGAAACGTCAAGACAGCCCGAGAGATACTAGTATATATAAGCCGACGTAAGTCAATACAATCCCTTCTCCCCGCCTCAAAAATACCTCATGATCATATTGATCACAGGGTATCACTCGATGCCAAGTGCAACAGCCACCGACTGAAATGATATGATGCCGCCGGCCCCGAACCCCAGAAATCTATGGACAGAAGGTGTTGCAAGACTGAGGCTATCTATAGATTCAATGACATTTGGTTAATCGATTATTAGGATCACGTAGTTTTAAGAGAGGGAAACATCTCAACACCTCACCTTCCAAATACCATCAACGCCTCCTGGAAATCAACAGCCACCGTTGAACATACTTTACCTGGATTATTCATGTTGAATGGTCTTCTTATCGATATTTCTGGTGTCTTGATGTCATATGCTTTTCATCGAACAAGTTTATGGTAGCTGAGGAAGCAGGGCTGGTGACCAGAAATACTGCTATGTCTCATGTTGGCATACCACACTTGGGTAAACCTTTAAGCTCTGAAGAATTGAGTAGAAGTACCACAGCCGACTATTTAGTACTATTTGGGTAAAAATTCCTAGGTTTATGAGCAGGGAGTTTGCTAATGTATAGCGGGTAGAACGATATTAGGTTATTTCCCTAGTCAACAGCATACCTATATGTAGCCTATGCTACGATCCCTGGGATAACAGCCGTCTATACTTCGGAGAATCTCCGGCGGGACGGAGATCGATGCGTTATCAGGGGCGGGTTTATGGAGAAACAACTATCACGCACTCTAGATATCTCCATCAGGTCGGAAAAACTACCTTGAACCTAGTGTCAATTACCGGAGAAATAATCTACCATTCCTGTCATCTGGTAGCTCCGGGAATCTACATATGCCCTAGCCCTAAGAAATCCCTGTGGTCGCGTCTTGACCCGTTTCCGCGCCGTTAGGACTCTCGTCATACTTTTCGGAAGAAAGTCCATAAAAAAATAGTTCCAAAAATACAACATTTCTCTCAAATTTACTAGCGGTGGGCTTTGTGTAGATACATACACGTACTGACATTTTCTGAGAGATTTAGCCGCATACAGACACGCCTTGCTATTCCGGAACTCGACATTACGGACATCTTTTCCCCGTCTATGTGGGTAATCAATTTCTATCCCAGATCTGTTCATTGTCCGTTCCATACGAAATACCCGACTATTAGCATCCGCGATTAGTAAGGCATAACTTTGAGATGTTTCCGCAGCCGTAGCCGTTCTGGAGCCGGTGGGGGTGTCCTTGATTACATAGCAACTTTGTGTGTCGCCGGTTTAAAGTATTAGTGGGTACGTATGTCCCTGGCGAAGCCTGGGGGGGTTATCTTCTGGGGTACATATAGAGTTATTCGCAGGAGGAGAAAAGGCCTCAAGTTAGGTCCGTGAGCTGGGCTCTTTGATAAAAAAAAAAACAGGAGGAGTGTGGCTAGTAATATATACTCACAGCTAAGGCTCCTCTAGAAGCAGTACCAGTATGCACTCCATCAACGGAGTCCGATGAAACCACGGTCCCACATAGAGTACCTAGAAATTCTCGCCCTATTCAGTGACAAACCATTTTCTGATCCCTTGCCACCACGACAAAGGAATAACCCGTCGGTAAGACGATGAAACCGATAGTATTAGCCAGGCAGGCAGAGTCAACATTGAGTCCTGTACTTCACTCGCTTATTCACAGGTGTAAACGAGCGATAAGAAGCACCGCGAAAGATGTAGTCACTCAAGGGGAGCAATTCATAATCAGTCGTTTGGGTGAACTGACTAGTAACCTCGATTCATAGAGCTTTGGGATTGCGCGTCCAGATACCCTGGCCTTGCGATGCTTACTTGTACAATGTACTGTGATACACGGCACGTAGAGTAATGCGAGACTACTGTGTCTACGCTTTTGACGCCCAAACCTGGCACCACAGTCACGTCTAAGAGTAGCTACAAAATGCTAGCCACAGATCGACACCGTCCTGCCCGGAGTTTAAATTGTTCACAATCTCCTACCTGGAACGTAGGTTCCCTGTGGTACTAAGGTAAGTGTACCGGTTTTCCGTGCACTGGCCATCAAAGGTCAGGTAAGCCCTGGGTGTGCCCCTAACATTCGATTGCTCAGCTTTGATGCGGGAAAAATTCCGAATATCCAACACAGGTTCGGAGAGGATGTATCCTCAGCCGGTTTGATGAGAAAAAGTCAGGACTTATACCAGTATCATATAAAGAGTTAAGAAGATCATTTCACCTAAGAGTCAGAGGAATTAAGGATAAAGGGCGTCTTAAATACATGTATTCATGATGTGGCACAAAGTTGTGCTCACTTCGAGTGCTAAACTTCCTCATCTGAAACAATCCTACAAAGGCATGAGATAGAGGTCTTCGAACGGTGTACGATATTAGTAAAAATTAGAGTATCTAATTATGGGGCACACATCCTCAGCCTACGAGAAGTCGTAGGATCATTAAGGCTTGTCAGACTACGCACTCCGAGATTCAGAAGTACTGAGACTAGAGTGTGTCGCTGTTTTACGCACCCTACGAGTCGCCCACGGTACCTTGTGTGAAGAGCGGTCTGGTTCTGGCTCTGAACGCGTTAGCAGCTGTGCGACTTGAAGCCAGCTTCTCAGGCTAGTCATGCCAGGCGGTGAGGAGTTACAGGCACTTCTCAATTCAGAGAACAGTTGGTAGCGTCTGCACTAAACTGTACCACGTGCGTATTAGGAGCGCCACAAGGTAACCGAGGTGCTCGCCGCCAGTTGCCGATCATGTGGCTTTGCAGGAACCTCAACGCCAGGCTAGAGTTAATTAGGAGTACTAGTAGTTACAACTGATTATCTTTCTGGCATCGGGGACAGATAGGCTCAAAAGGATGGGGGGAACTAAAATGCGTACTGATGTAAAATCTGCGGAGATGGAGCCGAGTTTTCGATTGATTGCCTAAATCGAAAGCAAAATATCGGA